CTGAGTCATCACTGCTACTACTGCTACTGCTGCTGCTACTGCTACTAGCTGCTTTACCGTTGGTTACTTTAGGTGCTGCTCGAGCTGGCGGACCTAAGAAACAGAGTACAAAGTATAAGCATAAGTCAGAGGACCATGAAAAACCTTCTTTCTTATAAGCAGAGAACTTAGAAGTCCACCAATTCTTTCAACTTTAGAGCAGCCATGAAGGAAAATGCCATGGTTTACCATATCAAAGGACGACTTTTCTGTCCAATGCCAAGAGTTAAACTATTGAAAACAAGAAGATACAAATAATTTAAATATGCCCTATTGGCCAGGTGAGGTGGCTCACACCTGTAATCCCAGCACTTTGGGAGGCTGAGGCAGGGGGAATTGATTGATCCTAGGGGCTCAAGACCAGCCTGGGCAACATAGCGAGACCCTGTCTCTATAAAAATTAAAAAAAAAAAAACACAAAAAATTAGCCAGGTGCAATATCTTGCACCTACAGTCTCAGCTACTCAGGAGGCTAAAGCAGGAGGATCACTTGGGCCCAGGAGCTCCAGGCTGCAGTGAGCTATGATTGTACCACTGTACTCCAGCCTGGGTGACAGAGTGAGATCCTGTCTCAAAAAAAAAACAAAAAAAGGGGGTATATTCCAGGGGTAGAACCGCATTTGACTGCAAACAACAAAAACATTTTCTTTTTTTTATTTTAATTTCAGCAACAAAAACATTTTCCCTACTTACAATGGTAGTTTCTTTATTTACTAGCCCCTTATTATGAAATCTTATTAGTAAAAAAAGCTTTTTACAAAAAAACTAACGAATACCTTGAAGTGGTCATGTAACAGCTCTCCTAAGCAACACACGTGTGCACATGTGCCAGGCCATGTCAGGCAGAGCTGTCAAGATGATCCCAGACTTTACTTTCTACTACTGAAGGGCTGGCTCTAGAGAAGAAAGTGACATAACTTACTTTCTTCCTCTTTGGAAATGTGTTGGGGGTCTGGAGCTTTATCTTCTTGGCTTGAGGAGTCTCTGCCTCCTTGGGAGCCTTATTCTGCTTCCGCTTCTTTCCTGAACCTACAAAAACAAAAAGCCAGACTCAGGAGACTAGTTTCCTGTTCCTCCTCCCAGGTTCCCACAGAGGGTCCGCAATTAGAAGCCTAGTGGTGGGCCTCCTCTCCCCACCCCACCTGCAAAGAGTATATATATCCCATCCTGATTTGGGGGCACAAAACCCAGAGGTCAGATTCTCTGGATACAGACCTGGCTTAGAAACTGCCACTGCTGCCTTTTTCTTTTCTTCCTCCTCCTCCTCCTCACCATCCTTGGCTGCTTTTCCATTCTGGGCAGTCAGTGCAGAGGTGCCATTGGCCTTGGGGGCTTGTGGTCTTGGAGTGCCCTTGCCCTTGGGCTTCTCTTCCTCCTCCTCACTGGAATCATCAGAGGAAGAACTGGTGCTGCTCTCAGCCTTCACTTTCTTTGTGGAGGCTGGCTTAGAAGGGGCCACATGTCCTGCTGCCTTCTGCGGCTTCTTAACCGGAGATTTAGATGTCTTCTCTTCCTCCTCCTCCTCCTCACTGCTGGAGCTGTCTGAGTCAGAGCTGCTATCCCTTCCACCCTGAGGAGTCTGCTTGGCAGGCAGAGATGGAGCTGCTTTGACAGTCACCTTGGACTTAGAGGTGGCCACAGTCTTTTTTGTCTTCTCCTCCTCCTCGCTAGAACTGCTCTCTTCCTCGCTGGAGCTGCTATCAGCCTTTCTTGTCAGAGGCTTCTGGCCACTGCCTGCAGGTTGCTTGGGAGCTGCCGCTGGCTTAGCTATAGGTGGCTTGGTAGTGGCAGCTACCTTATTACTTGAGGAATTCTTGGCGTTGCTCACTGGCTTGGAAGGGGCTCCATCCTCAGAGCTGTCAGAGTCTACACAGAGAGAGGGTAGAATGAACAGCTCCCCAAATCAGATTCCACGAAGCCCTATAGCAACTGCCTAAGGGATAAAGTATCCCAGTGAACTGAGGGCCCCCATGTGCCTTACCTGAGCTGTCTGAAGAGCTCTCTGCTGCCTTCTTTGCTGGAGCTGGTTTGGTGGTTGCTCTAGAGATGTTTGCTTTAGCTGGTGGTTTCTTCTCTTCCTCAGAACTTGAATCTAGAGAGAACCTGTAGCATTATCCTGGGTCCAGAATCCCAACCCAACCAGAACAGCCATAAAAAGAATGCAAAGACATACACAAAGCCTCAGCCTTGTCCTTCCTTAGCAAAAAGCAACAGAGGGACAGAATGATTTTTCGTTTCTTCATTCCTCACACCGTCACCCAGACCCTACTTTAGGAGGAAACCACATCCCTCTGACTCACCAGACTCATCACTGCTGTCTTCACTGCTTTCCGCAGGCTGTTTCTTTTCTGCAGCTTTCTTGAGAGGCTGGTTTTTCAGGGACTTCTTCAGTGGGGGAGCAGAAGGCGGGGGTACTGAACTGTAGGGACCTGTTTAAAGGGGATGGTATGGTGGTTTTAAAATACGTGCATAAATTCTTTGGTACTTCTAGAAACAGCGTAACTCCCTTTCCCTTGAGTGTGGGCTAAAACTAGTGACTCATTTCTAATAGACCACGGTGTCACTTTTGAGTCTAGGTTATAAAAGGCACTGCTTCTTCCGTGCTATCTTGAATCACTAGTTCCGGGAGAAGCTAGCTGTCATGATATGAGAACGCTAAGCAGCTCTATGGAAAAGTCCACGTGGTTATGGCAACTGGGCCCTGGTTACAGTTGTGCAGCTTCCAGTCACCTGGTTTTTTCTTCATGGGTTTTTTCTGCTCCTCTTCCTCTTCACTGGAGGAGTCTTCACTGCTGGAACTCTTCTGGGTAGGGGTGGCAGCTGTTTTCACTGAGGCCTTGGCCACCACTTGCTTTTTAGGTACAGTCTGTATCTGAAAGAAAATCGATTACCACAAGAAAACATTGACCCAACCAATCTTGCCAGGGAATGGAGACACAGATACATGTAGACATCCCACCCTGGTCACCTCTTCCCTAATAGAAGTTACGACCCAGACCTTCTTGGGAATGGCTGCTGCCTTCTCCTCCTCTGAGTCATCACTGCTACTACTGCTACTGCTGCTGCTACTGCTACTAGCTGCTTTACCGTTGGTTACTTTAGGTGCTGCTCGAGCTGGCGGACCTAAGAAACAGAGTACAAAGTATAAGCATAAGTCAGAGGACCATGAAAAACCTTCTTTCTTATAAGCAGAGAACTTAGAAGTCCACCAATTCTTTCAACTTTAGAGCAGCCATGAAGGAAAATGCCATGGTTTACCATATCAAAGGACGACTTTTCTGTCCAATGCCAAGAGTTAAACTATTGAAAACAAGAAGATACAAATAATTTAAATATGCCCTATTGGCCAGGTGAGGTGGCTCACACCTGTAATCCCAGCACTTTGGGAGGCTGAGGCAGGGGGAATTGATTGATCCTAGGGGCTCAAGACCAGCCTGGGCAACATAGCGAGACCCTGTCTCTATAAAAATTAAAAAAAAAAAAACACAAAAAATTAGCCAGGTGCAATATCTTGCACCTACAGTCTCAGCTACTCAGGAGGCTAAAGCAGGAGGATCACTTGGGCCCAGGAGCTCCAGGCTGCAGTGAGCTATGATTGTACCACTGTACTCCAGCCTGGGTGACAGAGTGAGATCCTGTCTCAAAAAAAAAACAAAAAAAGGGGGTATATTCCAGGGGTAGAACCGCATTTGACTGCAAACAACAAAAACATTTTCTTTTTTTTATTTTAATTTCAGCAACAAAAACATTTTCCCTACTTACAATGGTAGTTTCTTTATTTACTAGCCCCTTATTATGAAATCTTATTAGTAAAAAAAGCTTTTTACAAAAAAACTAACGAATACCTCTATTTCAACAACCAGAACCATTTCGCCCCTGTGCCTAACAATTAATTTTTAAAATTTTTAAAAATTTTACAACTTCTCGGACTCCAAAGTGCTGGGATTACCCCTAACGAGAAATTTTAACACCAGTCACCAGAGCAATCTGGTCTCCAGCCTAGCCTCTTGTGAACAGAAACATTACCTGGTTTGGCTGGGGCTTTAGCCTGAGCTTTAGCTACAACAGGTGTTGTCTTTGGCTTCTGGTTCTTTGGTGCCTCATCCTCTGAGCTTGAGTCAGAATCGGAACTTGAGCTCTTGGCCTTCTTAGGAAGAGCTTTGACTGCCTTGGCTGCCTTGGCTTGGGGTTTAACTCCCTTCTGGACAGGTTTTTTCTTTTTGTCTTTCTCTTCC